ATTGCTCTCTACAACTACCTGAAAGGAGGTTGTAGCGAGGTGGGTGTCGGTCTCTTCTCCCAAGTAACTAGCGATAGGACGAGAGGAAATGGCCTCAAGTTGCACCAGGGGAGGTTTAGATTGGATGTAAAAGGAAAAATCTTTACTGAAAGAGTAAAATTTCAAAAAATTTGAAAAATTTCTTTACTGAAACATTGGAACAGGCTGCCCAGGGAAGTGGTTGTGTCACCATCCCTGGAAATATTTAGAAGACGTGTAGATGAGGCGCTTAGGGACATGGTTTAGTGGGCATGGTGGTGTTGGGTTGACGGTTGGACTTCATGGTCTTAGAGGTCTTTTCCAACCTTAATGATTCTATGATTCTGTGATAACAGAGCTAGCAGCAAAGCTAGTGTTAATGTTGCTAAGCGCTTTCTATTCTAGTTTTCAGTTGTTCGTAACTGCCAGTCTGAGCTGAAATTTCCCCTGTTTGGTGTCTGCTTCCAGTTGTTTTATTTTAGCTTGTTTTAGCTTTGTTTTTGGAAAGTTCCATTTATAACAACTGAGCCAACTACAAGGCTGAATTTAGGGGAGAATACACAGTTTTGTCCATTATAAACATAACCATTTCACTGAACAGCCTCTAGCATCTCTCTGGTTTGGAAAAACAGCTTTCAGATTTGGCAAGTAAATTGTTTTAGTTTCAGGGATATATTTTTCCATCTTCATGAAAATGTGTCCCAAAGAGAAAAAGGGTTAAAAATGTTGAGTGGAGGCTTCTTAAAATTGTACCTCCCAGTCCCCAGAAAGTTCCACCTATGTTGATCATGTGTGACCTTTTATTAGGCCCACCTACATTCCCATCTGAATGTATGCACTCTCTCCAGAGAAAGGCTGAGCTTGTGCCTTGCTTTGCTAGTATGTGTATAAAGCAAAAAGCCTCTAAGGGGCTTGTAATGCAGCCCATCTCCCTCCCCTTGAATGTTTTTGCTCATGCTACCTGTTGTTAGAGAGGGTGTTGGCAGGATGAATCACATAAAAGACCCGTCTCCTGCTGTAAGCTGTTTGTGGTTTTTGTTGGT